GCCATCCCTTTATGACCACAAAACCGTTAATAGCGTGGTGTACCTAATAAAGTGGCCGGTGAGTGTATGTATATAAAAAACAATCTAATTTGATCTTCAGTCTCTCATCCTGAGGACAGATATTAGAAAGCTTTGCCTACAGTTCTGATAGAAAAATAGTCAAATTGTTAAAAAYCATAAAGGATTATCTGCTCATACACTTTGTGGAGAATTCATGGACGGACCAGTTTCTGATCAACTTAGATATTAGAACAGATATACCTTCAGAACTAAACCTAACAGTCAGTTTGTGATGATTATCAGGGAGTTTGATGAAATTTTTAAAGCTTGATCTGGTTTCTGTGAACTCAGTTTAAAGCAGCTTCTGTCTTTTGGTAACATGACTGAAGACAGGTCATCAGTGATCATATCAGGTCTGAAGTTAGAGGGGAATTTAATGAATCATACAGAAATGATTAAATCTAACATTGGCTTGTAGAGTTCACATCTGCTACATTGTTTAGGCTGATGGTATTTGAGACCTGGATGAGTTTAATTTTATTTCTACAACAGCAAAGGCAGAACCCTACTCTAAGTKTATGTKTCGCTCYTGAAATTCCATAAAAGCCTTTTGAATTTTTTGTAAGGATGTCAAAMTAAAGGTAAGAACCGGAKGAAGTCGTCTGACATGCTGGTTTCAAAGAAAATGAAAAAAAAAAGCCCTATGTAGTGTATGGAAATGTTTACAGGCAGAAACGACAGTTTTTGCCCACCGGTGTAACAAAGGCTGTTGAGGGGTTAAAGTAAATTTTTTGTACTTTTAGGACAGTTTGGCTTCAGTGTAACAGATGACAGGAAACTGCAATCAGATATATGGCATAGTTTTACTTCACATTTTCATTACAGAGTAAATCTTAATTCTAACACAGGTATTGGACAGCTTCTTAACACCGATACACGAGGCTGCATTAGCTAGTGGATACTGCATAGACAGACGCGCACACACGCACACACAATGACAAAATGACTAAATTTTTCACTACAAAGTTCAATGTCCTGTGACCGCAGTGCAGCCACAGAATGCAATGCGACCATGTATTAGAAATGTCTTTAGGCTTCACCTGTTCTGTTCATTCACACTCACACACAAACACACACACTCCCCTGTAGTTGTAATGGACACCTGGGCATCTCAAATCCTGTCTCCTCACAGCTTCAGTGCTTGTATGGGACAGGCAGAGTTAAAAGCTGCAGATGTGTGAACTGAAACACTGCTGCAGTGGTTGGACTCTGTCAGATGTTCTGTTATTGTGTTTCATCATGTTGTTCAGGAGAAGCAGAAATGTGGAGGCATGAAAACAGAGTGAAAACTGTAAATAAACCTTGTCCTCACTTCTGAATGGGTCTCAGTCTGAGAACCTGCCGCAATTTCTCAAATAAAGATGAAAGTTCCAGTTTTACAAGACGACAGCAGAGGGTCTGTCCATGTCTCCCTCACACACTCATTCACGCACGCGCACACACACACACACACACAGAAGCAGCCAATGGGAGCTGTGTGTTTGGGTCTCTGTATTTAGTGTCGGTTCTGTGCCATCCTACTACCTGAGCAGCGTGCATCAGATCAACAAGAACAGCAGGAATAATAAAGTAAACCACTGGCACATATTTACACAAACAAAACAAAAAGTTACTCACTGCAGGCCTTCATGATGGGGGTGGGGCAGGAGCCCCTAATTTAAGTGCATTTTCATCCGGAATGTTTGAGAACCCCTAACT